ATAAAAGTTTTAAATAATGTTTTTGGTTAACGCTTTCTTAGTGGGTTAGTTTTCTACGAGATAGAGTCGCTAACCCCATGCCAAATTTACCAACACACGTAGAGTCTTTCATCTCACCTTCAGTTTCTAGTTACCCAACATTTAATGTATTTCAAATGAGTGAAGTACCAAATATTGATAACCAAAGAACTACACACTGTGCAGTGGTCGCTATATCTATCAATGAGTTACATTCGAAGATCCTTTAGTAGAATCATTGAACAGATTATCTTCAGATGATAGACGTTTTCATATAATCATTTAGCACACTACAAAACGTTGGCTTCTTTCTATCGTGTAAAACCTTATTTGTAAACCAGCGTTTTACACATTTCCATTTATGGCTGTCAATCAAACTGAATTTTGTACACATTCCACAATATGAACTGATTCAGTTGAATTAGGAAAATAATTATGTACACATTAGTGGAGTTATATACTCCTGACCTAAAGACCGATCTCTCCATTGGAAATTGTAATAACTGTAACTGATCCTAATGGAGTTCGACTCAAGAACACAGGCGAACGTAGTTGACAGATGACAGTCCCGCTCACCATCCAAAGATAACCAATTCAACAGTTTATTTCACCTTGATTTTATCAACACAATTCACTCGACAATTTGTAAATGTCACTCATTACTTTCGCCTCTATCTGATCTATATTCAATATGAGGACAATTATCTCACAACAATCGACATTATGCAAAAATATACTGCAAAACAGAACTACGAAAACGGTTGCACGCAATCGCAAATGAAATGTTCCAACTTTAGAATGTATCTCGTTTGATCAACTTTCTCTCGTTGGCCTACTGATGCAATGGCTTTTGAATGCTGTGCATTCAGCAATAAGATTTGAAAAATTGGGAATTCTGTCCGATTCCCTTGATCAACTATAACATTACACCGAATTCTATCATTTCTGTTACATTGTGTGCAAATATTTAAAGTAAAATATATTATCACTTCTTTAATCTCAGTGTAAATTATCTGACCATTTAATTAACAAAAACATATTTCTGTTGACCTCAGTTATTGACAGAAATATCAATGATTATAACTGTGTTGTCGTCAGTCACCTCACGCCATCTCATTAATCAAATAATTTGGTATTATTCTATATCATCTATTATGTATAGTGGGCGTAATATGAATCTTATTTAGAGCAAAAAAACAACGATTTCTAATAATAACTTGATAATTAGCCACACGTTCAGAAAAAAGATGAGTGAAATTATCATTTTTCAAAAGATTACTACTTTCTATAAATAAAATGAAGTGAAAACAAATCTCTCGACTGTCAATTCATAGAAGGCTGTGCTCCATCTATGAATAAACACTGTAGCCATTGACCGTCTAATTTCAGATGAGTTTAGTGGTTGTTTCCTCACAAATCATCTAGCTCTCACTTCCTCAGTTTATCAATCTATGGATCGCGCATTGATGATCCTGGTTCTTTGAGACTCGACTAGTTATTACTTCCTGTGTACATCGGTCTATGAGACTGTGGTGAATCATCCTGGTGATAAAATCCACATCACGTTCTGTGTTCCATTTTATATCAATCACTGTGGCGGATAAACTCATCCTCATCTGATATTCTGAACAAACACATTTTACTATTGACCAAATGTATGTTTTCACTGAATATTGACTATGGTTGCATATCATGGTTCAATGTGAGCGATCAAATTTTACGTGAGGTTGAATACATTTTGACGTGTCATTTTGTGCTGAAGTTTGGTCTCACTTTCCAACAGATTTGAAATGCGCTCTTTTGGAGAGAAGCATTCGCAGTTGAATATTTAAATAGCAAGTCAGGTTTGCACTGTCTCGCCAATTTCAGATTCATCGTTTTGGATGATTTTATTAAGGAGATAATTTAATTGAGCTAGACAATGTTCGGTGTTTGTAGACTGTCGGCAGAAAATCGTGTAGTCCGGTTTCATAGTAGTTGGTACAAGTCGGTATGTTATACTCTCAATCTTGAAGAAACCAATACTCCTCGTGTAATTCAAACTCATATCAGTCAATTTCGCAGTATGAAAATTTGCTGCTACGTTACTGTAAACACAACTGACATCTTGTAGGACAGAGATGTTTATATTTATTGATCAAAGCGCAATTGTTGGTGTCCTGACAGTGAGAAAATTGTACTACAAGTCATTAACCGGTGTATATTTTGATTTTTATCGATGAAATACGCTGACTAATGAATCTGTTTACGTGATATGAAACCATTAACAAGTGAACAACTGAGATTTCAACATGAGTCGATCTTAAACTAAAGATTTGGCATCTAGTGGTTTATATTCCTGAATTCAGTCAATTAGCGGTATTACTCAGTTGTCGTTCATTAAAACTGGTGATCATTGGGAGGATAATGATTGTGCATTGTATACTAGTCGCATACTTAGATGAAATAACAGTCTATGGCTTCCAGGTTTTCAGTGTCTGTTGAAGTGAAGTTACCTTAAGTTGAGTCTACCGAAATGTCTAAGTCACCAGAATGAGATACGCGCAAAATCGAAGTTCACATAACAACTACTTTTTCTAGAACACCAGTTCTTGGTTGAATAATATGCAAACATTAGTTGCAAACCTCAACTTATGAGATGTCTATGTTGTTTATCGCGTCCTTTTGTATGAAACGAAAAAGGCTTCCCGTAAAAGTAATTGTGATAGAGGTCTATCATCAAGTATTATTTCTATTGCAGTCAAACAAGTGGTGAGCATCCCACAGGAAGTAGTCTGCTCACCAGATAGTGAATTCAAAATTCTGCGTACACTTCTTATTATTATTTTCCACATTTCTCCAGGATGACTTGCGTGAGGGGCATTGTAGTGCATTCTATGTTCCGTCTGGTCATTTCTTTGGCCACTATTTTATTTTTTAAGTTCGGCAATAGAAGTTGTGACTCCTTCTCTTACCCAACAATGTTAATTCGTCTATCACTGTATATCTTCTTCCGCAAATCTCTGCGAGTTAAGAATCGCAACAATGCCGCTTAAATAGGCTTCGGATCTGTTACACTAATGCTCAAAGCTTACTCAGTAAGCGACCGGAACTAGGTGTACAGATTGATTCTTCAAAGCCAGACATAACTGCAGTCACAGGACAAAAAGAAGAGGAAATATTCGTACACTATGAGGGGACAGTATTGCTGCATCATTAGTGCAGGACGACTTTGGTGAGGCTCAAGTGTTCTCGAACTACTTTACCATAGAAGCACCGTTCACGTCAGCGCATACAAATCCCCCACACATACACTATATAGCGTGATCATTAAAGAACTCGATGTCTCTGGTCTGCTCAATAAGCTTGACATAGGTAATCTACGGAGCCCGATGAATTTAATCCTAGTCTACTGAAGGAATTATCTAACTTCGTTGCAAACCATTCAAGTATATGTTTTAATCTATCCGTAATGCAGGATCGTTTACCGAAGGACTGAAAGAACACCATAGTTAGTCCTGTCTTCAAAACAGGTACGAAACGCAAACCTGAGAATTACCTCCCTGTTAGCCTAACTGGTGTGGTTGTTAAAATTTGAGAAACTATTATTCGGAAGGAGCTTTTTAGTACCTCGATGAAAACCGGATCCTTTCGGAGAAGCAGCACGGCTTCAGAATAAGTTATTCTTGTCTCACTAACTTACTAGTCGCTCGTGAAAGCTGGTGCGCTCTTAAGGACCAAAAGCTACCTGTAGACGTAGCCTACATTGATTCCAGCCAAGCTTTTGACAAAGTTCCGCACAAGCTGTCGTTATATAAGCTAAGAAATGTCGGAATTGGAGGCAATCTATTGATGTCGATAAAAGACTTCTAGTTGTCGCCAACAAGGAGTACGGGTGAACTCGAAGATATTTAGCTGGGGAACTGTGCTTAGTGGAGTGCCCCAGGGAACAGTTTTGGGACCAGTGCTATTCCTCTTGTATGTAAATGACCTTCCTTGTCTCCCATCATCATCGATCTTGCTATATGTTGACGATGTCAAGATATGCAGAACGATATGTTGTAAGTGTGATAGTTTGGAACTCCTAAATGATCTGAAGAAATTACCTGAATGATCTTAAACCTGGCAGTTGCGGATAAATACTTCCATGTGTGTTGTGATGCATATCGGTCATCAAGGTACAAATACATACACGACGAATAACACTGAGCTACTTGTCGTCCAGACTTAGTAGTCATCCCTAGCCAAGACTTAAAGACTACTGCACACTGCCGTGGAATTAATTACCTCAGCACGTGGTTGAGGCTCAGTCTGTCGACTCTTCCACGATAAAGTTGAATCAACTTGGAGACCACCATTGCCGGGACTAACACAGGCCGTCGGAAAGACGTCTGTTAATAGTGCGCAAGGAACTTGTAGATGGATTGCTCCAATGTTAAAGCTTTTTAATATGCAAACGTAATGCTTTCGAAATTTGCGCCCCAGTTTAACCATAATCGTGTCAAAATAATCTATCCCCGTTGTTGCGAATAAAAAACCGAGCGTCGTCCGCGTGGATGGTAGGTCTCCGATCAGTTGTGTCAAAATATCCTCCTGCACGAACCAGGTTGTCAATTACGATCGATCGTAACTCACTGATCACATAATTCCTAGCAGTCATATTGTATGAAGTCTTGTGTCATTTTATTCAACTTCCTCGAATTTTCGCTTTTTTGCGTTTTCTAATAAATCCTTCTCGGCATTGTCCAGTTCATTAAGCGAAAAAGGTTCACTCCCTATCGCTTTCTTGCAGAGGTAATGCTTGAATAGAGTGAGTCAAGCTGTACATTGTTTAAGTATGGTAACAGGCACACTATTTCATTTTGGTGTTGCATACTACTTATATCTGTCAAAATAAGCTGCGTACATCACGCGTTTATCCGTTTTTTAATGGCTGAATTAATCAAGTGTGATTTAAATGGATTGATATAAACCTCATAACACCATACAATTCATCACATTTTATGCTGTTTGTACATGCTGAATGTTCATCAAATCCTGGAATTGTATGTAGTCATGATTATTTATTAGTGGATGATCGTATACCTAATGTTTATGACGGTATAATTAACAATATACCAATAATTCGTTTTTGTTTAATCAATAATTCCACATTGAAAACAATCGCCACAAAGACAAAAACAAAATTACCAGAAGTAGAAATGATCAATTCATCATTATCTTCTCCTTCTTCGATCTCCTCTGGATCCTTTTCATTGAATTCAATCGATTATAATAAATTATATGCACCAGATGAATCATATTTAGTTGGGCAAATTTATGATCCAATCAGTAATGTATACGGTTTACAGTTTACATCAAATTGAAATTTATTAGATCCATATATTATTCATGGAAAAGGCATAGTGTTAGAATATATTGGTAAGCATTAGTTTGTTTTTTGTTTATTACAGTGATTGTTTAAATGTTTATGTTATACACATGATGGACTGATTGTAGACAGATAATAATTGAAAATGAGGAAACATTAAATGGCTCTTTCATTCATTGTAGCATTGAACTGTTCAGTATTTTACACTGATGAACCATTCAAAGAATTTCAGACTTGATGGCGAGACATCAATCCTTATACTAACCAGTTGGGACCTAATGGTTGATGCTTGTGAAGACAGTCAGTCAGTCAGTCAACTTACAGCATTACGAAATCATTATCTAGTGATATTGATGTGTAGTTGCCTCAGACCCGATATAACTGAACTACATTGATCATAACCTGTTACTAGAACTCTAGGCATTACTTCTCGAAATTACTCATTACTGAGGCTTGCTGCGAGCTGACTCAAGTTAAAAACGTAAACCTGATGTGTAGCTGATAAAATTACTGATTGATTGTTTACCTAGTCAAACTAGTAGATGGTCTGACAAGTATGAGATGTGTCACATGTTTTCTATCACATTATTATTTCTTATTGTTTGTTATTGTCGTTGAAACATTCGCACGTTCTAGTGTGATCAGTCACATGTTCGTGAGCAAAATTGTTTTGAAGTGCTGTAGAATGGACACTGGCACGGTATCGTGTATAGATGCTCGTCTCATTCGTGTAAAGAAGAAATTCCAGCGTCATTTCAAAACGATCGTTCTTGACTCAGTGATCGAAAGCTTATAGAGAGGCTGTTAGGTGTTTTGTTTTTGAACTTGATCTATGTTAGGCTTGTGGATTTACACTATTCAGAAGTCTTATATTAAAGACGAAACAGTTGTTTTGTTACAGTAACTTCATGATATCAACTACAATATATAACTGTTTATGTCATTGTGTTTTATGAATATGTCATAAATGTTTTACGAAGTATCGTATATCAGAGTAAAGTTTAATAAAGATCGAGTTTAAAACAACTCTGTTCGTCTTGATATCTTGTATTAATTTCCACAATGAGAATTTCCGAAATTTTTGCGTTGAAATTAGTTTAATGATTATCAAAAATCAAGATACATTGAAACAAATGTATCCATGATCTTCAAGTCTCATCAGTGAAAATGACACCATCTAACCATTGAATAATTTCGAATTTCGTCACCGATTGATGATGAATTGAAATGACGAAATCTTTAGGGATAATGAATTAAACTTCTATATGTAGTGCTCGTTGATTTACTGTTAGACAACAACAAGAAAATAACCGTAAATGTTGAATGCATTACAATGACTGAATATTGAAACTATTCTAGATCAACTCAAGTATAACACAGTCCTTTTATGAATATGAAATGAAAACCAACTTGAAGTTGTTTGAAGAATAAAAACACATCACATTGAAACTTCAAAAATACTCAACGAAATCGTTGATTTATTGTTGATTGGTTAATTCACTGGTTTATTTATTTATTTATTTATTTATCCAGTTAGTTATTTGTTACGACAGTGATTATTGCATGCTACTTCACCTCGCTTCACTTCACTCACCTTAACTTACCTTTCTAACTGAATACATCAATTGAGAGAAATGAAATTGATTGTCTATAGTCTCTTTCTATTATCATAAAATGATGTATGAATGAATCGAAATTTCAATATATTATAGAATTTATTTGTATTCTCAGAATTAGTAGTAGTATGTATGTAATGAATCTTTATCAACTAAGGTGATTGGGATGTTTGTTACATATACCCGATCACCACCTATCTTGACGGGGAATATTGTCTAGTTTAAGAGTTGATTTCAGTAAGCTAAAAGTGGCTAAACCAAGATGTGGCACTAGTCCATTAAGTCAGTAACAAGTGGACTGAGTCATTTAAGTAGATTGAGTTTACCGCGTTGGAATCGGCGTGATTATCCTAAACGATGATTCGCAACTTTTGATGACAAATCAGGACCACTCACAATGGTCCATATACATTCACTCCTTTTCTTGCTTTTGGACCTAACCTGTGTCACAAAATCTCTTTATACCTTATTTCTTTGCATGTACCTAATCTTTCCTACTACCACAAATGTTATTACTACTGTTAGTAATCTGGAATTTGCCTCGATAATTTTATCTCTCCTTGCTAATAAGACATGACAACTTGAGCTGACATACCTATGTATCAGATTCTACGTTGCACATGACTAGAACTATGTATGAGGAAGCCATTAGGCAGAATTTGATAGTAGAGATAGAGGAAAAATATTAAAAAGAGATGAAGTTCTTTTAATACAGACAAGGTGTTTTTGAATGCTGCTAGAGTTATGTGAACAGTTGATATTTCCCAGTTACCTACATTGAGGAAAGATAGTTTTTTTGAGGTATCTGAAAAGAATATTGGATAGGTAGTGATTTTGCCGACCTGGAAGGATGACCGCTGACCCCAAGAGACAAATGTTTAAAGCCGATCAAACTGCTATTTTTCTGAGTAATTGTTAGTGTGTTAGCTCGGCACTTCATATTTTTATTTACCCATAATTATTTTCTTTGAGTTTGGTGGTATTTATAAGCGGAATTCAGGATACTCGTTTTATAACAATGGGAAGATACAAACCCTTTTAAATAAAATTTTTAACCATTGTACATGTAAGTGGCTATCTGACCTTTGTAGCTCATCAGAGTTAATGCGTTGGGCGTGAAGTAGTCGAACGCGTTGACGAATTCACTTATTTGGAAGTCTGATCAGACCTAATGGGTTGGTATCGGACGAAATCTCAGCACGGATTCGAAAAGCTCGTTTGGCGTTTGCCAACTTACGTCACCTTTGGCGAAGGCGAAATATCCGTCTATCAATAAAAGAACGAGTATACTGCGCGGCAGTCCGTTCAGTTTTACTTTACGGCAGCGAAACATGGCCATTTAGAGTAGAAGACACTCGTAAGCTACTAGTATTTGACAACGGATGCCTCAGAAATATTGCTGGCGTCTGTTGGGATCACCGGGTAAGTAATACTGAGGTTAGACGCAAGGTATTAGGAAGTGATGGTAAATAAGTCGACGAGGTTGTGAATGTTCATCGACTGAGATGGTTGGGCCACGTGTTACGTATGCCTGAACACCGATTACCACGACGTGCAATGCTACCCGGTGTTCGGGATGGTTGGAAGAAAATTAGAGGCGGCCAAACCAAAACGTGGCATCAGTGCTTGAAGTCACTAACTTCTAGTCTGAGCCATGTTGGTAGATGCAGACTACTTGATTGGGGTCTGCGTGACTTTCGTAACCAATGGTTGGAGACTCTTGGTGACATGGCTCAGAATCGATCACAATGGCGTCGCTGTATATACTCCTTGTCTTCCCTTAAACTAAGAGATTAAAATCGCTTCATATCTTTCTTTCTACGAACTAATTCTTTCTTCCTGTATTATATCCTTATTGCAATCTTTCTTTTAGATATTACCGCCTCTGAATTAACTACTTTTATGAATCCGGTGTCCATCTTGTTGTGTTAATGAGGTATGGCAACTTGGACCGATGCATATATGTGCCTGGTCCTACGTTATAGCTGACTGACTGACTTATTACTATCAGATTTGCACACTAAAATTGATGAGCATTTTTTTCCAGTCAATAACAATATTGCTTACGTTACAGACTGACTATTATTTGGAAAACCATAGAAAACCAAGCGGTATGACCTGATAGCTATTTCGTTCTACTATGGCTAGCAGTGAGATCCAATACACGCGTTTCATTCTGTCTGGGCTTCGTCAGCTGGATATATCTGCATTCCAGAGTTGATGTTCACTCTGGTACTCGAGCTTACTACCGTCTGCTTGGAGCACCATCGGGTCATCCATTTAGCTACTGAGTTAGGATAGCCGCTCATTTGTGCAATGGGCTGACGTTTAGTTCATAGAATACAAGTATACCCATGTGATGAGTTCTAAATAAAACGTAACGCACGTTCTGGATTCCACTGTTAACTACTATTCATTTTTGCTTATAATGCTTGTAGCTTAAGGTAATATTGGAGATGGTCATATACTACTAAGAGACTGATCAATTCAAATCCTATACATCAATGAGAAGACTAAAACATTAGACTCAAAGCCAGTACTTTCCTTATCAATATTCAATCCATTACCAATTAAGCTACTAAATTATTGAACAGAAATAAAGTTATCAGTAAGGGTTTGTAAACTCCTGTTGTTAATATTCAGTACTAGAACTGATCATCCTCTGTCACTATATGAACTTACTGTGGAGATTATCTTGTCAATATCGACTTGTTTGTGTTGTTTTTGTAGTTTGGTTGGCTTAATTCATAGAGTGTTACTAAATTTGATAACATTACTAACTTTATCAGCAATTTTCGTCTCAGATTAATCATATTTGGGCTAGAATTGAAAATCATGCATTGAAAGACAACTGTTTCGTACTAGTCTAAGATTTCTCAGGAGTGCATACTCACAACCCTAAACCCAGAGATGTAATCCCAGCCCAGCAGTTATCATGGCGAATGTACAACCGTTAGGATCATTGATTTTGGGGTCTATTGGTACATGTATCAAACACCAATCAATTTACAATTTGGCACTATTGTCCTCCAACAGCATTAGTCACATCTTCTGACTAGGACTCATCAAAAATTAAATCACTACTGAGCTTGTTATTAGTAGTTTGAACCAAACCATAGCAAATATTGAATACAAATGAAAGTGATCTCGACAAAACACTAATTCACTTATATTTTTATTGTTTTTGCAAATGTTTGTCTGTTCATCTAAGTAGATTTCATTTGCTGGGCTGTGATTAACCTTTATGTAGAATAATGTAAATGTTACGAATACGTTTAGGGTTTTTGTGAGGCTGAAATTTTCTCCATGGTGTTGTATTGACTGAATATGAGACCCAACTTGAAAATTGATCACCGACATATGTATTTTGGTAATAATTCTTATTTGCGAAACATTTCATAAGTGTTGAATTAAGTTAGAAATATTAGTATCTGACTTCTACTTAGGTATTAATAATTGAATGGCTATGTAACACTGTAGTGAAACAGTGGTTTAATGTAGTTGAATCATTTGTATTGCAATTATTGGATTACTTGCTTGAGCAGCGTTCATGACGTTGTTTGATTGGAGCAGACAGTCAGTAATTTCACCCGAACTTTACACAAAACATTCTGACTTAATCCAGACCGACAGTGCTGGGTTCGAATCCTACGTGCAGGGTCGTGGATGCTGACTGGTGAGAAGTCACACGCTAGGACAAAACAGCCGTCCAGTGCTTCCAGATTTTCAATGGCGGTTTGATATTGATCGATTCATGATCTCAATCGAAACATCTGATTATTTTAAACATATCTTGTTTCTTCTGCTTACTTGAAGGAGTCAGATGAACTGATTTACTTGTAACTTCAATAACACGTTTAGTGAATAACGTGGTTCCAATGAAGTTATGTAGCTGTGTACACAACGCATTGGATATATGAAACGAAAAATATTTCTGGGTTGAAGTCTCAATATAAAAATCAATATTGGGATACCGGTACACGTAGCTAACTAGCTATCCCTGAATAGAACGAAATGCATGTATTGAGTTTTTCTGCTATCTACAACTTCTTTAATCAAACTATAATAATGTCGAAAAATTAGGATACAGAAAGTGAGAATAAAGGATTGTAGGTAATCGACGTAGTATAAAAAAACGAATAAAAATGAATGTGAATTGCCTGAGTTTTAATCGAGGGGGGAATAGTAATTCCAGTAATTCATTTCATTTCATTTTATCTGAGTGTGGGCTGTGATACTGTACGGGTGCCCAGACCGAAGCAGCTGGTTTTCTTAGGGTCTACACCCGGAGCCTTTGACCTAAAGGTCTAACCCACAAGGCAGTGTAGCATCGTAAGGAGATGCAATTCCATGGTAGGTGGTGACCGAAAATTGGTTCATACGCCATTTGTTCCCTCAGGATACTGGAGCCCATGTGCACCATTGGTTCGGGATCCGGTTAAAGCGCCGGATATTCGCTTTTTGTCCTATCGTTTTCGTAAACAACACCCCCGCCACGAGAAGGCAATGAGTAGGACTTCCCTGGCAGAGACTGTATTCGCGTGGCCGTGTGAGAGTATTTTGAGAGGGAGAGCGGACTCTCCCCACTCTCGGCTGTACCAGGGCATTTGGGGGCGATGTATGGTCAGTTTTTACACATCAATCATGTGTATCTGTAGAGATTTACCGATGAGTTATTTATACTTCATTGAATTATACGTTTTACAAAAATATCTTTGTGCATCCAATCTATTTTGTTTTTGTCAAGTACATATTTTTGTACTTCACTTCATAGCTAGTTGATACTACAATCCGATTTTACTTGGTCAATGAAGAGAGCATGTTCCAAACTTGCGGTTTACAGTCTGAATGTTCATAGTGCATGTTTGTTTGTTTGTCATTTGTCCACTGAATATTTGAACAGGAAATATTTCTATTTCTTTGAAATGTATATTTATAAAAGCTCTTTTTTCTTTATTTTTAGTTGACTTAGGCTCTATACTTGGAATATGAATATTCCTTTTGGCCACTCTTCTTGTTGTCTATCGTCTAAGGCATAAGTAAGTTGTAGTTTTTTATTGTTATTATATATATATATATATATATATATTTGTGTATTGATGTGGGATGTAACTCTGTATCATGGTTGATTTGTCAGTGTATATATACACATCAGTGGATGTCTAGTATAATTCTTTAACATGAATTATTTACTGACTCCATTTATTATTGATATATTTAATACTTGAATAATGTATACTGATTCTCTAGCCTCTTTCTAGTTCTTCTACATAGAAATGTCATACACTTATCGCTTAAACAGAATCGAAAAAGTGAGAGGTGTCGAATGAACAGTTGAATTCGGTGGTTTATATATGACGATAATATGTTAGGACCTTCTAGGTGGGTAATCATCCAACCAAGATATGATGTATAATGCATTGCTTTTGCAGAATTCGCTGAGAAGATTCCATTAAATACCGAGTGCAAGAAATATACTTTTTATCCAGGCAAACGTTACTTCTAATGTAGCATAGGCCGTCGACCAGCATTCTTCAACCCACTCTGTCCTTGAACCTCTTTTCTAATTCCATCCAGTTCTTGTTCATTTTCTCTCCTGATCTTGGTGTTGGTTGACAGCTGCTTTGAGTTCCAGATGTTCCTCAGTTGTAAATATGCTGATCTTGCTTTGCCGATCCACGCCTTCACATCTGCATCAGATCCAGCGTGTTCATCAACGATGCTGCCCAAATATGTCAAGGTTTTTACATCTTCCAAATCTTCTCCGTCAATTGTGACTGGATTGGTGCATTCTGTGTTGTATCGAAGAATCTTGCTTTTCCCTTTGTGCATATTGAGGCCTATTGCTGCTGAGGCTGCTGCCACACTGGTCGTATTCTCCTGCATTTGTTGTTGCGATTGCGATAGGAGGGCCAGATCATCTGCGAAGTCTAGATCGTCCAGCTGCATCCTAGATGTCCACTGTATCCCGTTTTTCCCTTGAGATGTTGACGTCTTCATGATCCAGTCGATCACCAGGAGAAAGAAAGGGTGAGAGTAAGCGACCTTGCCGAACACCGGTCTTCACTTCGAACGACTTTGTCAACTGTCCTCCATGCACGATTTTGCAGTTTAATCCATCATAGGAATTCCGTATGATATTGACTATCTTCTGAGGCACGCCGTAGTGTCAAAGAATCTTCCATAATGTTGTTCTGTCCACGCTATCTAATGCTTTTCCGTAGTCAATGAAG